ACATATATAAAAAAATATATAAGCAGGATAAAAAAGAGGTAACATTCCTGATATCGTCCGTATAAATGTAAATCAATTACCGTTCCTTCTCATATTGATATCTTTGTTCTATATATTCTATTTTATATAGACAAGTAACTTAATTGTTCATATTCTTTCATGTTTCAGGTTCTGCAAGTAAAAAATAGATATAATATAAAGAGTAATTTGTGAATGTCGTACGTGTGCAAAGAACCAGTGGAAAGACTACATATTCATCAAAACAGTATTATCAGCTCACAATACCCATGTATAAATCATACCCACTATTTATTTTTATTATTGAATATAATAATATCAGCGTGGTGTGGAGTTATTGTCATTAATCTAGAACGAGGTCGACTTGCGGATTTATCAAAAACGAAACAAGTCTAGTTGTGGCCGTATTAAAGATATCAAATCGTTATATTCCGACCTCAGTTTCCTTTTGCTCTTATCGGGACTGCAAATAAAATGCACTTGTTCAAAGATACCGTGTTCTTATCGTCGCTGTGTATTAGGAATACGAACGCAATTTTAGATAACGTCAACTGTTCTATTTTTAGTGATGATGATTTATTATTTTCATTATTTTCTGGCAACAAATAGATGGACAATAAAAAGGTAAGAACAAAAATGGTACAATGTATCGTATTTTTGGTGTGTTGTTACCAACTAAAGAAATTTCGGAATAATATAATCAACAAACATCAATCTCAGAAAACACCTCAGGAATGACAAAGAATGAAAATTTAGACCACATATGGAAGTGTTTCAAATAAATTATTCATCATACTGATATTATACAGATTGAACGAAATAAATTCGGAACATAGGAAACATCATGTATTTCGGCTCATTTCTGCTGTAGGAGGTTGGCCAACAAAAGGTTGTCAAATAATTATATTATAAAAACCCAATACTTCTGCGGGCTGCTGGATTCTCAACTCATAAAAATTGAAAGCTACACATAAATCTACGATTTTATTATGCTGTCAAACCACTTATAGTCCAGGAAATGAAGCATTTCACCTCGTAATTTTTTCGTCCTGCGTGGATTAACTTGAAATTTTAACAGAAGGTAGGCAATAGCCTAAGGATCAAAATCTATATCGAACCAAAGTGCGCCAAAGCCTTGGTGGTGGTTGCCACCCCATCCCGGGGGTGAAAATTTTTTTTTACGTTTTACCTACAGATTTCGATTAAAAAAGTGATTATAAACAAAAAATGTTCTATACATTTTTTTTTTGTAAAACTGATATTTTTCAAGTTATTCGCGATTGAACGTAACAACTTTTAGACGAAAAAATCGACGTTTTTAATCGATTTTTCGCGAATAACTCGAAAATGGTGCATTTTATCAAAAAATTGTAGAGAACAAATTTGTAGCTTTTAAAAAGACAAATACAATTCATTTTTTAAAATGTTTTTGCGATATAATAGGAACCGAAATACGGCCTATCAATGTTCAGTGGTTTTCTTCAAATGCCAAATTTGAAAGATTCAAAGTCAAATATCGGGAAAATGATGCATTTTTGGAAGAAAACTCACGCAACCTTTTTTAAAGAGCATAAATAGATCTATCATAAAAAAGACTCTAGCTCAAAAATTGAGTGAGTTATGATGAAAATAAGGCCAATACCTCATTTTTTTACGAAAAAATCGATGAAAGCAACCCCCTAACCACTCCCATAATTAAAATCGATCTTCACCGTTCTGCAATTCTCTTTGTAAATGTATTGTTAATACGTCCAAGAAGTTTGACCCATTTAAAATGCTTAGTTTTAGAAAAAGTACAGCTTAAAGCGAGAAACGATATTTACAACGATATTTACAAGAAACGCTTACAATTTCATATTTTTTACCCTTCTTTTTTTAAATATCCCCGAAAATACTGAATATATGAAAGAAATAAAAATGTACTAAATTGTAGCTTTTTTAATAACTAAAATTTTCCTTTATTTAGATTTGTTGTACAATGAATATTTGGCGAGATATAGCCGTTTAAAGCATCGATTTACGATCAAGCACCATCTTTTTCGAGCCCTTTAAACTCACCCCATTTGAAAACCAAGGGTTCCAAAGAGATTTAATTTACAGATCTTTGTAGCTCTTGAAAACCTCTACAAAATCGTTTTTGATGAAACACTCTATCGGTAAAAATGAAGGAAATACGTTAAAAACCAATTAATTATTTTTTTCGAAAAATTCTATTAGTATAGTACAGTACATTTTGGAGCATAATAATTTACAAAATCGGCATATTAGGTTGTGGGGCGTTATACATTCGAAATTTTAAGCGTTCTTATTTTGAAATCCCATACAACAGAATAAAACATTTGCTCATATGTTTATGGCTTGGCAATGAAAATATCAGAGCAACAGACTGGGGATGGTATTCCAAAGATGGTTTGTTATTACCCGTACGCATGAACAAACAACCTGTACCCGATAAACTTTTGAAAATTATTTTTTGCCAATGCAAAAAAGGATGCGGCGTTTCATGTGGGTGCAGAGAAGTTGGTTTATACTGTAACTTTACTTGTTCTGGGTGCTCAGGTAAAGGGTGCAATAATAGTCTACCAATAATTGAAGAAGATGAGGATGACATAGATCACGATGAAGATGTAATTGATGACGAACAAAATTAATATTATAATTGTTTTACCTATAAATGTAAATATTTTCAACTATTTATGTAAATGTATAAGAATATATGGTGCCTTTTTATGTTGATAATTTTTTTTGTATTTAATTCTCCTTTTTTGAATTTATATCTATTAAATTAGTGTATAAACTGCACCCTTTACAACTGCAATGTTGTAAAGGGTGATTTTCAAAAGTTGAAAAGTTGCAAAATTTTGGCAAAAAATTGTTTTTACCTATAGCACTCATAACAATTGATTTTTAAGGGTTGAAAATGTATGAAATTGTATTTTAAAGTATAAAAAAATCACTATTTAACTAATCCAAACCAAATTTCACTCATCTTAAGATTTGTAATGTTATTTTACAATTTTTGAAAATTAGGGGTAGTTTTCACCCCTAAGAACAATCAGGGTTCATCGGCATGTCATAAACTATAAAGCAGAGGGTGAGTTAAGCTTAATTCCAATTTTTTATGCAAATCGTTCCAAGGCGAAATCATTTTCTTCGCATTACTAATTTTTTTACATTAATCTCTAACAATGGTCGCTTTTTAAGGGTTGAAATATGATGGAACTTTATTCAAAAGCACGGAACTATCATTATTTAATTAATTCAAACCAAATTTTACCCATATTCAGGTTTAATATGTTATTTTATAATTTTTGACAATTAGGGCTAGTTTTCACCCCTAAGAACAATCAGGGTTCGTCTACATGACATAAACTATAAAGCAGAGGGTAAATTGAGCTTAAATCCTAATTTTTATCCAAATCGATCCAAGGCGAAATCATTTTTTTAGAATTAGTAATTTTTTTACATTAATCTCTAACAAGGGTTGCTTTTTAAGGGTTGAAATATGATGAAACTCTATTCAAAAGTATAAAATAATCATTAGTTAACTAATTCAAACCAAATCTTACCCATATTCAGGTTTAATATGTTATTTTATAATTTTTGACAATTAGGGGTAGTTTTCACTCCTAAAACCATTCAGCGCACTTCGGTTCGATATAGATTTTGATCCTTGGGCTATCACCTACCTTCTGTTAAAATTTCAACTCCATTCATGCAGGACGAAAAAATTGCGAGGTTTTAATTTTTTTCGAACTTCATTTCCTGACCTATTAAAAACTTCCTTAGACAAGCAACATTGTAACACAAACAACATTGTTGCGAGACAGATAGTTGAACGATATTTTATACAATGTCTATACCCAGGTATGGATTTATTTTTGTCGCAAGTTTTATATTGGTCCACTATTGCAAATGCAGTTCAAACAGACATATATTAAATTGTATGTTCCGTTTTAAATTCGTTCTATCTGTATATCAGTACCTACAGCTAAAAGTCTAAATGACAATAAAAACAACAATAAAAGAAATTAAGCTGGCGTAATGAACAATGGAATTCATTGTAGACATATCCCGATACTGACGTTGACTATGTCTACAATCCTACAATCTACAACACAAACCAACGTCATCTAGCGAAAAAACTGTAAATAAAGCAGGTCCAAGCAACTTAGGTATTACCAGTCAAGAACCCATTAAAATGTCGTTTAACAAAAATACAAGTCTACCTCATTCATACATGAGTGATAAGCAAAAAGAAAACAATCTTAAAACAGGAAACTCATCTTGGAATACCCAATCTAAAAAAGAAAACAGATACAAACTGATTATTGGAAGCAATGAATCGTCTAATGTAAACACCATTCCTATACAAGCTCATGTACATTTGTTCGGCATAGGTATCGATATGAAAGCCGATGATCTTCTAAAATTGTTGGGTGACGGTACCTGATCTTACTTTTAACTGCGTGGAATGGCATAGAACTGACAAATACTCCACATATAAGGTGCCTTTCCCTTTCGATAAAATTAACGAAGTCTACAGTCCTAATATTTGGCCCAAAGTAGCTGCCTTTAGGAGATTTAACTTCAAAAGAAATTTTCGGCACATACAGAAGACGGAGGAAGAAATCTAGAAGCTTCTACAAATTTTTATTAATATAAACTAATTCGACAAGGTATGGTAAGCGTGTTTCATGTTAATTTGCAGTGTATTTCAAATAAAGTCGATATGATCAATGCTTTTCTTGCGGATCACAAATTATAAGACGTCATATGTCTTTCGGAGTACTGGCAAAGTTAAGAAAATTTAAAATAATTAGCATCTGGCTTTTCATTAGCTTATTTCAGGATATGTATGAGGCAGCATACACCATAGGACCACAAGGACTTGTGTGGGATTGGCTCAAAGTGTTCGTGATGGTTGGTTTGTTTGATGTATCAAGGCTCTTTACTGAGTTTCTACCAGTTTAATCAATGTTATGGATATACTGATAGAGAAGGTAAGGGAGGGCGCTCCGTCTTTGCGAATGATGTCGGTTAGTGAAGGAGAGCAAAAATATATTGATGGAGAAGTTGAAGGATTGGAGAAGGTTAAGGTTAGTAGGTCAACAGCGTAGTATATGTGGTTGGGAGGAACAGAAGTGGTTGGAGAAATCGAATTGCTTGGGGAGGAACTAGGAAGAGTAGGAGAATTTAAATACATTTGCTCCTACATAACGGAAAATGGGACAATAGATCGAGAAATGGCCCACAGGATACATACTGATTGGTTTAACTGAAAGTGAATGAGTGGAGTGCTGTGTGATCGAAAAATTCGAGAAGGGCTGAAAGGAAAGGTATACAAGAGTGAGTGGCGTTTGTGTACGGCGAGAAGTGTGGCCTGCAAAGAGGGTTTAGGAAAAAAAGATGGAGTTAGCTGAAATGAAAATGTTACCATGGATATTGGGTAATACTAGAAGAGCTCAGGACTAGAAGGGAGATCAAGAACGAGTGGTGGTTAGGGAAACCGGCGGGGTTGATTGCAGTCTCAAAAAAGTACAAGAACAAAGACCGCAATGGTTTGTTCACATAAGACGTAGAAATAAGACGAAGTATAGAACTATTATAGTTAAGAGAAAGAGAGGTAGAGAAAACCTGAGGACAAGTTGTTGTTATGTTCCTCCTGAAATATTCCTCACCCAGAAATTAAAACGCAGACCCTGTTTGCTTTCTGAACATTTTACTTCAAAATTCTTCATTCTTTAACTTTTTATGTTGTAAATCCATTATCCGCACATTAAGAAAAATCAAGCGAAAAAATTGCAAATCCTAACATTTTTTACGTTAAAGTCAGACATTTTTCAAGAACCAATAAATACTCTGCGTAAATGCTTTTCTTTACTTTCAAACTTTTCCATTAGCTGCCTGGTAATATCTAGTTATTTAGTAAACCAAAATAGGTAAAAGCTCATGGAACGAAATCGACAATCGCTTCGTTAAATATTCATCATTCCTTTTTTTCTTTGTAAAAAGGTCGATATCGGTAAAAATTGCCTTCTCCCTCGGTTGATCGCACGCTAGAAAAAATATTTAAAATTTCACCGAAAAGCGATTTTCCTTTTTTGAGCGCAAGAAATACTATTAATTTCCCAAAGTTTATGAAATGAACCTGTCTCATGCGATATTTTCGTTTGAGTTGGTGTGGAAAATAAACTATCAATTTTAACTGAAAGCTAATTTCTAACTTTATTACTTTTAGACTAGTTTAAGAAGTTGAAATTTTGTTTTTTAATACAGATTAAGTAAGTTATGTCGTAGTAATTAATTATTGGTTATTTCTCACAGCCTCCATGCCTAAATCCTCATAAATATCACTGTTAAGTATACAGAGTGGGTCAAAAGTCTGGAAACGCTTAATTGTTTCTTAAATAGATGCTTCGAATTGTACAAAAACCTCCTTCTTCTTTAAGTGCCGTCTTCCAATCGGATGTTGGATATCATCATCACTATCTTTACTCTATCTACTGCTGCTCTGGAGAGTTCTATAGAACTGCATTTAAACCAGTCCCTTAAATTCTTTAACCATGACACTTTCCTTGAATATATCTTCTCTTTTGTCATGGTTTCGTCTTCGATTGGATATTCCGCTGTTTCTAAATTTATGCATTTGACTGCTTAGTACCATGGAGTATATTAATCTGTTGTGCATGTCAATACCTGATGAAACTTAATGACATAACTAAGCCTTTATATTACTGACATGCCTGCAACCTAATCTCGCAAGCTTCTATATACTGACGATTGGACCCTTGCAACAAGCCACAATTCCTTAAAAACTACCGATAATACTCTCACGAATGATCTTTCTATTCTCAGCGAATACTTCACCAAATAGGCTACCAAGCATTAGAAAAACAGAAGTATCAACTTTTTGTCTTAACAACAGGCTACTTAACAAAGAAATACGAGTGTATCTTGATAATATACTATTGAAACAGAATGAATACCTGAAATACGTTGGGCACACTCGACATAGAATGATCAAATTCAGAGAGCACATACCAAAAACATCAGCTAAACTAAAGATACGTAACAACATAATACAGAAACTCTGCGACTCTACATGGGGGTCCAAAATTATGGATAATCGTAAACTTCTAGTAAACAAGGACATTCCCGATATCCTTGGAAACCGACTCCGAACTAGGTTACCTCCTCTTAAATCCGCTCGATCACTACATCATTCCAATTTGGGCTTAAATACCCGATGGAAGGAGTGGGAAAGTAAAATAGATCCATACTACCATAGGTTACTGGAGATCACAGCTAAACCTACCGGATTTGATCGTCCTCGCTAGATTTGGTGGCATCAAGTGGCATCTGTGAGAGTAGGACATCATAATTCTTAATTGAAAAAGTTGTACGACAGGGTTGTGTTCTGTCACCCCTCCTTTTTAATCTATACTCTGAAACGATTTTCGATAGAGCCTTAAGTGACACTGAAGATGGAATCAAAATCAACGGACAGACTATTAGTAATCTTCGCTATGCTGATGATACAGTCATAATCACTGATAGCCAAGAAGCTACAACGACTAATAGATAGAATAAACACTGAAGGAGAACGACTGGACTTGAAGATTAAAATAGACAAGACGAAGGTAATGGTGGTTAGTAGAACACGAAATATGCAATTAAATATAAGAGTAAACAACAAGAACATCCAAAAGGTCCCCAAGTTTAGATATCTCGGTAGTTGGATAACTGAAGATCTAGATCCAGGCATAGAGATACGTAGCAGGATTGAGCAAGCCAGAACAGCATTTACTAATATGAGAACCTTGCTAAGCAACAGCAGCCCTTACTTAACGCTTCCGTATCGCTTTGTAAAATGTTACATTTACTCCATACTGCTATATGGTGTAGAAACCTGGACCATAAAGGCCTTTGGCGATTGGAGGCCTTTGAAATGTGGGTATTTAGAAGACCACTTAAAATTCCCTGGACAAATCATACAACAAATGTTGAAGTATGAAATCGAATGGTCAGAGAACGAGAATTGCTGCCAATAATAAAAAGAAGAAAAACTGCTTATCTGGGTCATTTATTTCGAAATTTCAAGTACCAGTTCTTAAGCTTATTATGGAAGGGAAGATAGAGGTAAAACGGGGCATCGGAAGAAAGAAATACTCATGGCTTAAAAACATCAGGGATTGGACAAACCTCGATGCACTCTTTAGAGCCACACAAGATCCACTAATTGGATAGGACACAATAAGAAAAAGCTAGATTTGGGCAACACTTCGAATCAGAAAAAAACTGCGGACTGCCTTTACAGATAGGGTAAACTTCCCTCAGCTTCTTGTGATTTTGTCGCTACGGGACAGGCGGTCAAGCGCATAGTACATAGCACATATTACATGACTCCCCTACAAGGCGCCTAAAGACTTCTTACTGGCAACCGAAGAGCGAATAAATGATACAAAGAAACTGGATAAATAAGAAATAAATATATGACTTTTACATTATCATCCCCTAGAAGACAGCATGCTTTCAATAGCATATTAAATATGAATAGACTAAAAAAATATTCTAAAAAAAAATTTTATAAACAATCTAGATCGACCCGATAACTTAAGTTACTTATATCTTTTATTGGATGGTCTTGATTTACTAGTCTATTATCTATCAAGTTTTTGTACGAAATTTAACTTCCGAAATCGATGTTTATGGACAGGTATCACGCTATGTGCGTTGGAACTGAACAGCTATCAACTAACTTGGAGAAAATGCGATGAAAAGGTTAAGGTTGTGGCGGTATTTTCGACAGTAGAAAAACGCCGGGTTTGTTAATAATTCATGGAAGGCAGATACAGTCAGTTCACTGATTAAAGCGATTAATGTTAATGGGCGTGTTAGAGATACTGCAGGATAGGGGAAATATTTATGTATTATAATTTTAATTTCTGAGGTCTGCGTTTACCATTTTTCTAGTCTTACATATAATAAGTAGAGCTAAAAGCTCTACATAATTGCTAAAAATAAAGAAAAAAATGGTTATCGGTCTAAAATCCGGACACAAGACAAGAAAACTAAAAGACCAGACAAAAAGTAAAATAGTATAAAGAAGAATCCAATGAAATGTGGGATAATATCTGGGTATATAGATTTACATTTAGAATACAGCAGTCAAGAGAACGAAGACTTCTTCTTTTAGTTTAGGTCAAATCCTGTTCATTCTAACAACTAAATCTTCGGACTTAATGTCCAGTTCTTGTACCATCGTTTTAAGGGCCTTCCAGGTGGTATTGATGTGTTGGATTTTTCAAGCCTTACAATTTTTGCGAACTTCTTATCGTCCATTCTACTGATGTGGTCTCTATACTCCCTGCGTCCACTCTTATCTTACGATATCCTAGACGCTGCATTGATTTATTATAAATTCATTTCGTTATCGACCTTCAAAAGTATAACCAGCGTTCTCTTTTCAGTTGTCCTGGGAGCTTCTTGGTTGCAACCGTTTCGCTCTGGTGTTGCTGGTCTTACGCAAATCTTTATATTCCCACCTTACTTCATATCCCCATGTGCTAGTCGGCTTGCCAGATAATATCACGTAGATATCCAGATATTATTGCTGCTCTGTTAGTCCGTTTTTGACGTCCTCCTTGAGTTTTCTCTACTGGTACACTATAACTATTGGTAGTAGAGGAAAATATAGAAGGCCGAAGATCAAGAGGGAGGCCTCCAACGTTATGGACATACCAAACGAGGACTCTGGTGAGAAAATCCCTACATGAAGTCGTCCATCTGGCACAGAATCGCAACCGATTCATATGTTTCAGACGTTCCCTAATGTATTGATCAGCATTAAGACCACTTCTCTCTAACATAACAAAGAAATGATGCCTCATACCTTCACCATCAAAAGGTACTCTAGGAGAAAAGCAACATTGGAGATAGCGTTTTATCTAGTAAAACAAAAGATTTCGTCAATCTTCCATATCCCAATTTTTATGAGCAAGAGAGAATTCCAAGCGTTGTCTTAGATGAGCTGCATCCAATAAAAAGCCTGTAGCACATACATACAAGATGATAAATTTTGTTCGCTTAGTCTCCT